ATCTCCAAACTTCCAAGTCCCTTGATCTTGTTGACGAGAATCATCAATCGGTCATACATCTCTTGTGGTGATTCATTGTACTCAATCACAAACCTACCAAGTTAACTCTCCAATTGCTCAATCCTTGCCTCTCTAACCCCCCGAGTTCCTTCATGGGCAACTTGGAGACTACCTCAGATCTCTTTTGCTTCATCTAGCCCATCTACCTTGTTGAACTCTTCGAGACTCAAAGCAACAAGTATGGGATTGGTGGCTTGAGCTTTGCAATATACAGCTTGCTCTTGATCCGGAGTGAGGTTCATATTTTCCAAGGGCACATTCAAATATGTACACACCATTCTCCAAAGACTAGGATGCAAAGCAATTAGATGCAACTTCATCGTATGCTTCCAAGCGGAATAGTGAGTCCCATCAAAGTGTGGGGCATGCCCGGAAGGCACGGAGATGTAGTGGTTAGAAGGGTTAAACTTAGTGTAATCAAAAGGAATGGTAACTCCCTTTGAAGGTGGATTGGTCTTCGAGGTGGAGTTCTCCTCTTCGGAAGGTGTAATCTCCACAGGTGGTGGCTTCTCTTCGGTTTGACTTGTCTCGGTCATCATGACTTCCTCCAAGCGATTAAGCCTTTGAGGAGTTTAGGCTCTGATACCAATTGAAAGTAGCCTAGAGGGGAGGGTGAATAGGCTAACCCTAAATTTTTAAACAAACTTCGTAGTGGCTTAAATATTTCATTGGAATCTCCAAACAATTGCTTGGAAACCTATGCCTAAGCCAAAGGTTGAACTCATTTCTTTGGTGGTTCCAAAGACAAGAAGATAAACAATTACCACAATAAGTCAAACTATCACAAGCATACAACTAGCTCTAACAAAGGTAGTAAACGCGATAAATAAGACAGACACGAGATTTTTCACCGAAGTTTGGATTCAAGAATCCTACTCTCCGTTGAGGGACTCCAAAGAGCTAGGTCTGATTAACCATAAACCTCACCAAGTTTGCACCCACAAGATCATCAAGGTTTACTCACCACCAAGGACTTACAAATCCCCAAGCGACCCCAAGATCAAGCCTTTGAGGGGAACCCTGGTCCACCTATGTGAGTTTCTCAACCAAGCAATCTTGTAAGACCAAACAAGGTATCAACTCTTACCTCATTTTTCTTGCGGATGTGGAGTAGAGCCTTCACAAACTTTCTCGGCCTTGCTACACAATTTGGAAGCTCGTGGGAGAAGCCTAGCCGGCTAGGAGGTTACCCTCCAAAAGTAACAAGTACGTGCAAGGCCTGGCATCGATCTCAAGTGCTTCAAGACTAAACCCTAGGTCAAGACCTCAAATCCCCCAAATCCCTACTTAAATCCCACAAAGATTTGTCTCAAAGCCAAGGGAGAGGGAGAGGGGAAGAGCTCCAAGAGAGAGTGAAATACCAAAATGAGAGCTAGTAAGTGCGAATGACATGGTTGGGGAGGTATAAATACCACCACCTACCAGCCACTAGCCATTTCGGCAATGGCTACGCAGTCCCGGAGTACCGAGGTGGATCTTAGAGTCTCCGGGAGGCACCGTATGCGTTGCTGCAGAGTAAAGCCCGGAGTCCCCGGAATATAACCTCCGAGCACCACATAAACCTTCCCAGAAACTCCGAGATATCCACTTAGGGCCTCTGGGACTAAAGAAGCGACACCGCCACGCTCAAGCCCAGGGCCCCCGTAATAGGGGCCTCCGGCACCCGAAGGAGATGACCGGAGGCTCCGGGGTAACCCTCGTAGTCCCTGGGACTCAAAGGGCAGCGCCACCGCCCCAAGCCCAAGGTCCCCTGGATTGGAACTCCGGGCACCTAAGACACCTTTCTGGAGTCTCCGGGATATCCACCTGAGGACTTCGGGTTTCTTATCAAAGGCCCATGGAAAGAGAATCAAAGGAATGGGGCCTTTGAACCAACCAACCCAAGATCAAAGATAAAGAGTTTAAGCACTTTTTGATCTTTGCCTTGCATTGCACACGCCCCTCTTAATAGTGCGCATACCTGAACTCCGGCAACAAGAGATATAAAAAATAAAACATCTAAGTCTTCACGATGTTGTTTCTTTGCCTTTTATATGGGTTACCGATGCAATTGATTATGAAACTTACACCTATTCAAACACTTCATACACACATTAGTCCCCTTTACTGTTTTGTCATCAATTATCCAAAAACCCAATGGGGGCCTAGATGTGCTTTCATTATCTATATTAGACATATGATTTTAAAATTTAGGGTCCTAATTTGTATTTTTTTCCCCTGATGCACATAAGCAATGAAGATTAAAAGAGCGAGTTCACAATGTATTTTGTATCAACATGAGACACCAATTTAAAATATGTGAAGTTTAAGACTCATCTATTGTCATTTTCATTTCCTTATCCAAATAAGACTAATCAAAGGAAAGCTCATAAAACACATTAAAATTTTCATTAATCAGCAAAACCAAATTAAGCCACCTGAACTTATGGTGGCGGTGGCAAGCTTCTCTGATGTTGGTGGGGGTTGAACCCTCAGTCGAAACTGGTCGCAGCCTCCAATACAGTTCTACCGACCCGATTGGCCACCACCATTGTAGACGCGAAAGCTAGCTACCGCTCAAGTTTTTTGAGATAGTGTCACGACACCGCCCTCCCTTGTATGTGCCATGGGACATACTCTCTGGGTGAAAACCTTGCCCCGGATGTCAGGAATAGCTAGGGTGCTATTTAAGATATTATTAACATTTTGAAACTTCACATTGGAGGCTCCTTGTCGGTGCAGTGTCCTTGTGCCGGTGTCTCCGACGTATTCTTCCGTTTTGGTTCGACATCAATCACTATCCCTGGCACTTGATTTCAAAGATTTTGCTTTTATAATTTTAGAAAGAACTACACACAAACTTGTGAGCTATATTGGAAAAAAGGATGATCATCCATACTATGTGGCCAACCATAGATAGAGATATTTGTTTTAAAGTGGTATCATTAGTGCCTTTCAAGTTTTTAATCAAGCCGTGCATAATTTTGTTTTTTTTACATTACAGTTATTCATCGCACAACCCTAACCCTACGATTATAAATTTCATTATTAAACTGGTTAATGACCGAAATAAATTTCATTGTTAAAAAGGGAAAACGAACACAGGATACGGAAGAAAACAGCAGAGTATATCGCCGCGGAGATGAATGGGTCTTCTCCGAATCTCTCAGATCTCGCCCTCTAGACATCTTACTCTGTTCGCATGTACCCTATTTCATTTTATTTTCGTCCATCTTGGTTCATCACCATGAGTCTATGGCTGGTAACCTGTTCGCTCTCGCAAACCTCTTCCACAAATTGTTCAGAAAACACAGAAGTTCCTAAAGTTCATCCAGTTCGATGTGTATATCATTACTTGTTTCTTTTTTCAATTTACATCCCATCCACACGGTAACACGCAGGATCCAGCTAGTTTCGACGTGCTCGCTCAGCCTCCGCTTCAACTTTTAGGTAATAGAAACTTTATGAAGACTCAGTCAATTACACCGAGATAATACAATTCAACTAAGTCCACCCCCGGCCTTTGCATGAAATGCACACAGCCAAAAAGAAACCATAAAAAAACACATCCCAAGTATAGAAGTGTGAAGGAAACGCAAAATTAGTCGCTATCAATCCGTAAACTAGACCGTCACCCATGCCCTTGGGTTAAAAAAACTCGCCCCACCTAGTCCAAACGTCGTGATACCACCACAATAGTATCGTAATGTCCCGGTTTGTGGAGGATAGTCTAGGTGCATAGCCACCGGGCAACTAAAGTACTCCCTCTGTTTCACAATATAAGACTTTCTAGTATTGCCCACATACATAAAGACGTTAATGAATCTAAACACATACATATGTCTAGATTCATTAATATATGGGCAATACTAGAAAGTCTTACATTGTGAAACGAAGGGAGTTATAACCTGCAAATGAGAAGACACTATTTTGTTATCAAACAACACCCCATTCATGCTTAGCCAGATGGACCAACAAAGAACTGTTACACCCATCAAAAGCAGATTTCTCACGTCTTTCGGAAAATATAAAAGCCAACGCCCAAACATATGAGTTACGTTTCGAGGAGGTTTTAAATTTGAAGCCATTCGAGTAACATACCACACCAAACGAGAAAGATGATATTGGAAGAACAAATGTTGGATAGTTTCGTCTTTGTGACAAAAGCAACACTTCTTACTACCTTTTCAATTTCGCTTAGCTAGGTTATCCTGGGTGAGAATTACACCCCGGTGTAAGTATCAAAGGAAAATATTAGCCTTTAGCGTCACTTTTACCCTCCAAATACATCTATTGATATTCGGGGCGCTCGAATGAACCAGAGCTAAGTAATCAGATTTGATCGAGAAGACCCCATTGGAAGTGAGGTTCCAGTGAAGTTCATCTTGCTCCTGTGTCAAAACCAAATTAGCTATCCAACGCAATAAGTTATGCCATGCGGCTAACTTTGCTCAAATTAAATATCGTCTCTACGAAAAACTTGATGGATTTGTTTGGAAGATTTGTGAGATAGTTGATAGTTTGTGCCTAAGTATGTTTTAGAGACAAGGATATTAGTCTCCCAACGAGACATTACCCAACCACTTCGACTTTCCAAAACCTTATTTCAGAACCATCCCTAATACGAAAGGACCAAAATGAAGAAAATCTTGTTTGATCTTCACAAGACTAGACCAAAAATATGATTCACCCGCTTTCCAATAAGCCTAAGCTAAAGGTTGCGATCTCAAATATTTATTACGTAATATCTGTTGTCACATTCCGTCTGTGACGAGTAACTTATATAAGTACTTGCTAAGCAATGCTATATTCTTTATCTAGTTGGCACATTTCATCTAATTTAATCTATTGGGCTAATATCCTGTGACACATACTAAGTTATTTGAGGCCCCTTGAGATTGGTGGCCCTGTGCGGTCATGCTTGTGGCACTCCCACAGGGACGGCACTGTTTCTATGCATGTTTTCCAAAAACTAACAAAGAATGGCATCCATAATATTGAAATAGATACTGATGCGAAACATTCAGCACGAGCTTTACCAAAAAATGGCATCCACAATCTAGATTACAAATAAATAAGGAGTTGTGGTACAGTACATAATCATCTCGCATTCCAAAATTTGAGAGGCTGCCGAACATGACGCCCGAATCAGCGGAACACGAAAATGCTCTTATCTGAAGAAACCAACCTTTGTGCAGCAAACGTCCCAACAATTCGTTCTAACTGCAAGTACATAATTAACTCATTTGAGCAGTGAGCGGGACATATCTTAAGTTCAGCAAGCTATGACAAGAAACGGAACAAGGACACAGCTAGCAATGCTGTCAGGAGCATGCAGCACATTTTGCATTATGTTAGGTGAGACCACAGTTAAGTGATCGTCGTTTAACAGGTCAGAAGTTTTCACCGTAACACTGAAATAATACTAATATTTTTTTCAAAGTATAAAACGAATAGTGAACTGAATTAATACTCATGAATCAAAGTATAATACTCATGATGCAGAACATAAATTACATCAAACGATCTTCGTCAGGAATTCTTAACGATAATACCAGTTATAATGGCCAAGATGAAAATTATTGCAATATGAAATCAATAGATCATCAAAGTATTTGCTAATGGAATCAAACAAAATGAATCACTGGCCTCACCTTCAGAAGATCCAGACGTGAAAAAAAGACGGTGCATTTCCTGTTTTCTGATTCACTGAGCATGTTTACAAGCTGAAAGAAAGGCCCCAGATAATTTTTTTTTGAAACTCTTCTACAGCACAACATAAAACAGATTACAATATTACATATAGTTCAAGTTTTAGTAAATACCTCTGGGTAAAATTCCTTTCTCCCTGGCAAAGAGTAGATAATCAAATGGTGTGCTCCCCTGATCTGCGATTTAAGGAACAACGATAAAAAGTTTGGCCTCTATATTAGCAAACAATATAACTGCATGGTTGAGAAAGAACACATCATCATAACATATTATACTTTAGAGTCTTATAGATGTTATGACCTTGTATCTGTGGTAGAAATGAGATCTCTCACTATAAAGTAAGATTTTTTTCTTGCCCTCAAAAAACCAGAGTCTTGCACGTGATATATCTTGTTGCGATGTTGTCCTGATTTACGAACACACGTAGACAGTTATCAGATGCATAAGACCAAAACCATATCTTATAAGGTACAACTATACAAATCAGATAAACTATAAGGAGAGAAAATACTTACTCCCCAATTCTACAAAACGATGCTTCCTGAGATTTTAAGAAGTTTCTTATCCTAATATATTCAAAGTATGAACTGACGAATAGCAACACCCGACCCTGCATTGCATTATGTTAGGATCTTACAGTAGATATTGTCAACCTATTAAATCAAAATAGTAAATATGTGCATTTTGAAAGCTTAAATAATATAAAATTTCATAACAGGTGATTTCGTTTTCAATAAATCATATGAACCATTAGATTTTCCCCTAGTCTAAGTCACTGCTAACTATTCATTGGTTTGGAGGATCATGTCGATTGGAAATTGCAGCTGTCTGATCCTGGTGTTTGGCTTTCATCCCACCAGCCTTGCCAATTGATTGCCTCCACAATAAGAGCCTAGGTTCTGTTGCACAGTGCCCTTCAAGGAAAACAGAAAAAATAACTTCTATAACTTCTTTTCCACAATCGATTACTCTGCTGGTCCACATCAACATCATCACCGGCTTGCCGCTTACTCCTGCTCACTTGCGCCAGCACTGCTTCATCAGACATGCTGCCAAGCCACCCATCCTCGTCTGGCTACTCCATCTGGCTGTTCCATCCCCTCTGCTCGGCCAAGGAATAAGTACTCCACAGCTCTGCACCACAATGCTTCAGCCTGTAAACCTGCTCCACCTAGGATGCCTTTCAATCATTTGGCTACGGTGCCTAAGAGCACCTTTTATGCAGCGCTGGCCCATACCACAGCATCACCGCATCACCAGATGGCTACCCCACTTCTCGGGGCCTTCAGATCAGGTCTGGTCCTTGAGCACCCATCCATCCTATTTGTCTAATCCTATGGTCGGGGAAGAAGGTACATCATGTATGATTTGGGGATAGATTTTTTTTCTTATTGGTCCCATTTCATTGCATGGTCTCCATGCAGGTACTTTTATTGTTTTGTGTTTGCTAGAGGGTTATTTTGTGCAGCTCTCTTGGTGGATTTCTTCAATCAACAATTGGTACTTGTGTAGCTTCATAAGCCTATTCATGCTTGAAGTCTTACCGTCCCAGCCTCTGTAGTTGCTTCACTTTCTTCACAGTTAATTCAATGCATAGTCTTAGGCTGTAGAGTAAATTATTTTTTGCTCTACACATGATTGGCCTCACTTATAAATAGTTTTTATTATCACATCAAATATCTTCTCCACTACAGTACTGATGAGATTTATCGTGTTCATTTTTTCTTACAGTAGTATTTCATTGGGTGATACCTCCCTCAGGTTGGTGGCCTGTGACCCATCCTTACTGTTCAGTGGTTGCTCTTTGCGTGATATGCCCAGCTTATACACATTGTTTTGTACTTGTTTCTTTTCAAAGTTTCTTTTTGCTCCTGCTCGATAACATGGCAATGGCCTGATGACCTTTCCAGACTCTTCACTAAGCTCAGTTTATGTTTGTGCCACTCAAACCAAGCCTACTTGGCCTTGCTGAACCTCAGCCCAGAGACAAACCTACATGTGTATTGCCTAGGGCCTGGCCCATCAGCTGTCAGCCAATATACTTTGTGAACTATGATTATAATTAGTAGCGCATTTTGAACCTAGTGCTCCTACGGTCCTACCAATTTTGCAGAACGAAATCAAAGTACGATTATGAGATTCGCGGATAACAAGTGATAACATGAATGACATACCTCATCTGACTCCTGAATCTTTGGGTACACCTGCAGATAATGTCACAAAATGTAAAAGTTATTCCACAAGTATTCAGTAATAGAATTAATTTATAACACTTAAGACCATAAAAGCAGCAAAATAAAAACACAAAAAGAAGATTAATTATGCGCAATATCAATAAACTCGACCCTAGGTATTTAGCAGTAGAAGTTTTCTCTATGCAGGACCAAGAAAAGACCCCAAAGGCTCCCTCTACACTGCCCAGGACACGCCTGCAGGACACATGTAACACTGAAGCAAGGGTGGTGAGGGGTCCTTTTTTAGCCCAAGCCCTGAAAAATCATCTCCCATGGGGAGTTGAACTCGGGCCACTGGGATATGCTACTAAGGCAGGCTGCAGGCCCGTTCACATTACACGCAATATCTCCAGTGCACAGCAAGCTGTTGATCCTGAGTCATGACAAAGGATGCAAAAATCACAATATGAAAACATGGGAATATGGTTTATGGTACAGGTTACAGGCCAAGCAGTCTGAGCAGGGATGGAAATAGGGGCCCAATAAGAGATACCCGACAGAGTTGTTCACCTATTAGGGCTTGGTCCTGAGAAACCTCGTACAGGAAATATGGGAAGATAACTGGTCCTAAGATGCATGTTGCTGGATATCAGGACGAAACAATAAATGTGGCTATGGTGAATATAAACAGAACTAAGTGACTAGATCATTAGAATTTTAGTTAATAGCCAATGCAACAGCAGCTAGAATATACCAAGGCCAGATTACACTAATAATGAAATTAATGCAAACCAAAAGTGAATATTGGCTGTATAATGTTACACATTGATACAAATAAGAGAGTTCCATAATCTGAGCCAAAAGCAAGGCACATGTAAACATCAACTTCTCACAACACAAGAAGAAATCCCATAAAGGCACAACGGAACTGACCTTCTTGCAGAAATGATCAAAGCGAGCATCATCAACTTCAGTAATAGAAGATGCATCAAACCTTTCATACACCTGTGAATCAATCGGCATTGCTTCATCTAATAGAATTTCATATTCATCTCATAGATACTGTTTTGGGGCATAAGACTACAGAATTGTATGCTGGAGTCCATGGCATGAAAAATTGCTACAAATCTACATATCGAATTTGGAATGATGCTATGGAATAGAAATATAACATGAGGAATCAACTGACCTGCGGTGCTTCAAACTGTATTTTAGAAAGAACACCTTTAAATTCAGTCACCAGCTTAACCTGATAAAAGTTGAGTTACAGCATTTCAGAAACATGTGGTCAACAAAGTAAAAGATGACTGAGTAGCTTCACATCCAATATACCTTCCCCTCATAATTCAAGCATAATCCATTGAATAAAGCATTCATCTCTGCGCAATAGGTAAAACAATTAAACCATTTTTATGAATGAACAGTGGATGGAAACAAAAATAGAAGCCGAACCTCATGCGGTAGCATTAAAACCAAATCTATTGACAGATCTAGATATACTCAACATATGAAAGGAACGGGCCGCCCTAACTACCATATAATCACCGTTTAGGCCACATAATCGGACAGGAGGTTGTATTACAATCACGGCTAGACAGTTAAAGAATAAATACTGATTATAAATGCAAGCAATCGAAATAACAAAGCAACTCAAATAACTCCATTGAACATCTATGAACTAGTTAAGATTAGACAGAAAAAAGGCATTGGCCAAGGTGGAAAAAACATACTCCCTCCATCCCAAAATATAAGGCTCAACCACTCCTAACACAAAGACCAAGAAAGAATTTAATCACCTCCTTGATTGAATTGCATTCATACATGCAAGCAATGTTATTGGAAGACTTAATGGTACAGGAATTAAAATAAATCAAATTTAAAGAATAAAAGAGGTGATAGTGAATGTCATGCATGCATGCCTTATATTATGAGACATTGGAAAAAAGTGGTTGTGCCTTATATTTTGGGATGGAGGGAGTAATTAGTTTAATATGAGCTGATATAACAAAATCTAGATGAATTCCATAGGCTACAGCCTAGGAGCAGCCATTGGGCTCAAAACATTTGGTCAGAGTTCCATGTTAAATTCCATACCTGGAGTAAGATAAGAGCTCAAGAGTATTGTTTGCCGATAGTAACGTGCATGCTGATCCAAGTACCTTAACCAAGAAAAATAAAAATGTAACAAATAAAAAGTTTAACATACTAATAAATACAATGTATGAACAAAATAGCCCCTTTGATTTGATATAACAAAATTGAAATTATAAAAATAGGAACAGCCATACAAGACAGGCACAAACTATCCAAGAAATCAGGAAGTACCATGGCCTAATACGCATCACATTGGTTCCATGTTCCTTTGATGGCAACTGATTTAATTGTTCAAACACAGCATACAGATGTGACCAACTCTACATAAATGAATAAGAGTCATTTGTACCAGAAGGCATAACAAAATTAGTGCAATAACATATTAAAGCTGAGGGGTTTAACCTGCATAAGAATCACATCTGCGTGATCAACCACCACTATCTGCACAGAATTAGATCAATGACATAAACGTTATGAAAAATCAGAGAGAAACACTAGGAGACTACAAATTGTAAGTAATGATGACTACAAATTGTAGACAACAAGTTAAATACATTTTTTATTACAGTATGTAAGCATTTCTGTTTCATAACGTTCATCAGCAAGACAGTTAAAGGCCACTGAGTACACTAGGTCCTCCTTGGCTTAGCTGATGCGCAAGGCACAAAAAAAAAAGTGCACCCAAGAGTCACTTTCCCACAAACATAACAAAACTATTTCCTTATTATTTAATGAAAAATTCATTGCCATGAGTATTGTTGTCCATTGCGTACATAGGTAGGTTATGAGGATAAACTGCTATTTATGCAGTCAACACAGTATATTTACAGAAGATGCAATGCACATCACATCTATTCCTAACGAGAACGAAAATAATTGCAGAACCAGAGCTTAGCTAACAGTGGAAGTAAGTACGAAGGACCTCCACCCATATAACTCTTCTAAGAGATCTAAGCCAAGTTAGTCCCCTCTCTATCTCTTTCGCTAATCCATCATTTCATTGTTCCCCAAGTCAAGGTGTAATACAATGCCCCCCCAGTGCAGGACCCTGTGTCAAGGTGTAATACTCCACAAATCTGTATCGAAAAATAATTCTCTTTTCTGGCTTGGGCTCTATAAAATTTGATATATTTTGCAGTGTTCTAAAAGTTGGCACCGGGAAGCCACCGTGATTTTGCATTTGGCACTCATTAGGTGGCTGCTCTGCCTTGAGGGCTATAATGATGTTATATTCTGTTGTCTTTCTTTTTATGTTATGCTTTGCTAATTGCTTAGAACCACCTTGTTAAGTTGGTCCCTGGGTAGCATCTAGTGCACTTATATTGATGTTCTATTGTCTTCCTTTCATGTCATATTCTTGCTAATTGCTTGTAAGCACCTGGCCAAGTTGGTCCTTGCTTGTAAGCACCTGGTCAAGTTGGTCCTAGGCTCCGATAGGGGCTGGGTTAGCAGCCTGACCATCTAGCATCTAGCGCCTTCTTGAACCATGATCTTATCAGATCTAGTTACCAGAGTAAACTTGTCCATGTATTTTGCAACGTGAAGAGAATTCCACATGCTAAAATTTAACATATTGGACACAAGATCTATCTTGCAACTCCATTTTAGGTCAGATAAAAATGATATTAAATGAGCATGCACATCCCTATAAAATGTGTGAATGGTGCTTGTCAACCACTGTCACAACATTAAAGGGCAGAATGTGGGAAGTCTTTAACAAAACTCTTGTTTCTCTCGATGGACAGATAGTGTGAAACAGAGGGAGTAACTCGAATATTGTATGGAGTACTACAAGATAGAACTGCTGAAACTGTTTCACATTTTCAATAGAAGTATATGACCATAGATCCTTTACATGTATGTCCATATATGATGAAGGAAAGTGGAAAAATATGTAAGCGCATGGGGTTAAGAGCAGAACTAACTTCAATTGATGATAGGAAATCAAAATCCCTTTCCTTGGCAGGTTCCTTTCCGTTGTCATCAACTCCATTGATTTTCTGATAATTGGCAAGCATAAGATATATAGTAAAATTATCGCAAAGAAAAATAAATATTTGATAAGCACAGCAGGTAGATGAGAATGATTGAAATAAAACTTAAGCAAGTAAAGGAGAATGATTGAAAGAAAATTTAAGTCAGGGCATACTGAGAACCTGAGAACAAGCTTCAGTTGTGGAAGAAAGTAATACTTCAAACCAAATAGCAACAACACTAATTTCCAGCTTTTTTTCTCGAAAATGCAGGAGGGCTGCATTTTATTTCATTCCAGAAGGAAGAAAACATATGTACAAAGAAAAAGGGAAACAATCCCTCCCCTCCCACAACCAAGACGCCCCCAGAAGGCCAGAACGACCTCCCTACTGTCCTCAGACAGTCAGGGTCAACCTCTCACTAAGCAACTTTTGGAGCGCATGCACGCTAGCTAAACATTGTTAAGCTACTCCAATTTGACATTGCTTGCAAAACCATTGAAATATGGTAGGAGTAGCCCCATTGAGCATGCAGTCATTCTGATGCTTCCATAGCTCCCAAGCAACCAAGATAATCAACAAATTCAGCCCCTTCCGAGAGTCTTTATGAATTCCTTTGATAGTTTTGCACCATCAACTAGAAAAACTTTACTCCGAAGGTTGGGGAGCAGCTTGTGAACATCTGAATGTCATTCTGCCTTCTTCCAATAGGATAGGTACTCCCTAGTTAGTTGCTATACCCCATCTTGGCCTTTCCCTAATACTGAACATCCCGACCCTGTATCAAGTACCACCTATGTTCCCAGTTCACCCTACTCCCCAAGAATCCCATTTTCCCAACATCATAGTAACCAACTGCCAAATCTCACCAACAGCAAGTACCTACATCTCTAATGAGTTTTTTGGTATTAGGATAACCATATTTGGTGAAACAATATATTATTACTGACTTATACCCTTTTCCACACTACCATAATGTGGTTCTATTTTGTTTCTCATTGCTACCATAATGTGGTTCTACTATTTTTCCATTGCTGGCTAGTCAACCATGGTTGACCACAAAGTTTCCCCCTAAGGACCATTTGACCTTGTGGATGAAACAAAAGAGAAACATAAATGCACCAAACCCTAACAAAAAGAAGAATAATCAGGAATCATCATAGAAAGGGTCATTAATTTTAACCAAAAGAACTCATTCTATACTTTTGTTTGAAAAAATACACATTCTATAAAGTAAAACAAATTAGGCGGTGATATATGTCCTGGTCAGACATACAACATTCTAGTAGCTACTTGTTCACCAAGCTAAACCTGTCTGACTGGCCTCATCGACAGTCATAGCAAACAATCAGTCTGACCATGAAATAGTACCTGGCTGTTATTTTCTAGCATGCATGTTTGTAGAATTTTTTACCATCAATTTCACTTTAGTACATATGTCAGACTAACCCCATTGCTCTGTCAGAATGCATCCCTAGAAATGCTTGTGCACACCCCCCTTAACCCATTGGACTGGAAGAGCACCTTATGTTGAGATCAGGCACATCTTCTTCCACATTAGCCAGGTGCCTAGGCCTCTTATGGCTGTGTTCTTTTGGGTGGGTTGGGAACTAATCCCCCACGCACGGAAAACAGAGAGATAGATTAGCGCATGATTAATTAAGTATTAGCTTAAAAAATTAAAAATGGATCAATATGATTTTTTTAAAGCAACTTTCCTATAATTTTTTTTTTGTAAAAAAACACACCGTTTAGCATTTTGGGAAGCACGCAGGAAACGAGGGAGTGGAGGTTGGGAACCTCAACAAAAGAACTTAGCCTATATGCACAAACATGTTTTCTACTCTATGTTTGTTGCTTGCCTCATCTTTGTCATAAAGCCACCTATGCCCTCAATCGTGACTAGTATTTAACCCTCATGTGTCGTAAGTGACGGATTAAATAGACTGCTTAAATTTGAGGGTGTATTGGGCTTTGGGGCAATTGAGAATGCAAAATGAACTTATTTCTTACATAGTTCGTTCTTCGTTTGATTTCAACCTTTCGAAATCATTTTAATTTTAACCCTTCAACTATCTTATTAAACTCATAACTTGATTTCATGTGGTTTTTGCCATGTTGGCAACCACATCACTGGTTCAGTCTTATGTGGAATTCTAGTACATGCCAAGACTATATAAAGAATAAAATATAATACCTTTTGAAGATGTGTGGGCCCATGATTTTGGAATATAAACTTGCAGGATGATGCCATTTCGGCAAAACAAAAACACGCCACACAACCATGATGATTTCAGGAAGCCGTTCTGTTTTTTAATCCTCTCTTATTATAAAGTTATAACCCACTAACTCCTAAAGCTTAACATGCAAAGATGCCACATCATTATCCACTAACAATCATTACATTTAAACATCATGCAAACATGCTATATTATCTATAATTTTATAATTTATTAAATTTAACAGCTTTTAAAATGCAAGCACACTAAATCATCATCCCACATAATTCACATAATATTTCAATGTATATCTTCATTATGTTTTATAATATCCTATCACATTAATCTATGGTCCAAATTATCTCTCCTCTTTTCTTCTCTAATTAAGCCATATCACCTCAATTGTTTTTAGCCTTTAGATGATTAATCTACGGTCCAAACCATCTCCCTACTTTTCTTCTTTCATAAAGTCATATCACCTTACTTTTACATTTGAATCATCATTCTACATACTATTTAAATTTAAATTATCATAAACCACATTAACTTACTTAATCTGATGTTATCTAGCTATCTTGCACGTTATTTTTATTTATTGTTATCATACTAAACTCCCGCAGCAACGCGCGGTGTTTCACCTAGTTATTTTAGGGTTCGAAAACAGTAAATTTTACAGTCCAAACTATCTTCTCTTTTCCTATCCTCTCAAACACAGCCTAACTTAATCTCAATTTATCAAATCTAAACAACTGAAATTTATCTAATTGCAGCTTCATGTGTATCTAATTGCAGCTTCATGTGTCCTATCCTCATGCACGTTATGCACCTTCTGTTGCCGGTGTAACCTTCTGGCGACAGTTGTAGTGAACTCCCCACCTGACATCTCTCCCCTCCTGGAGAAGCAACTTGTCCTTGACCTGGAAATTAGGGAACAGCATGCGAGACTAGTCGAGAGGAACCCAAGACGCTTTCGACCGTTGTTGCCCTGTCCACTGAACCAAGAACTTTGCGAGGACCACAAGCTACCCTCCTCTGAGCGACACTTGCCGGCTGCACCACAAAGCGTCCATTGTAAACGGGTGGCCAAGCAGGAGGCGCAGCAGGCAGGGTACCCCGGAATGGTTTGAGCAGTCCAACATGAAACACATCCTACAGTCGAGCTTTCGCTGGCAGCTTGAGGCGATAGATAACCTCTCCAATACGCATGAGTTCCCAGCCCACCATCCTGAGTATGACCCCCTCCCATGCATCTTTTTACACATATTTGGAATAAACATACTTGTGTTTTGGCAAGCAGGTGAGTCTTACTAGGCCAGCCCATGTGATAGCCAAACTATAAAAGGAACTGCCAGTACAGTCTTGCCCTGTTCGCCGGTTTTCACCATAAACTGTCCGATTGACCTGGTTCCCATCGGTTCAACTGCATGGAACTATCTATATCATTGAAGCACACCAACCCAGTAACGGTGCCAGTTCTGGTTTAACTGCCAGTCCAGCCTGGTTTTGTTTTACTACAGTGTCCAGTAATCAAGCACTAAAATAGAAGAGTGATCTATGGAATGTTTCTGACAACAAGAACAAAACAGCTACTGAATGCACTAAACATTACGAGTCATTGAGTCCTTTGGTTCAATAAAATTTACCTTTATAAGTGCCAAAGGAGATGCAACAATGATATCAGATGAGTAGAAGTTGCTGAACAGATTCATAGATTTTCTGCACAAACATTAGAGCCAGTATTAACTTCTAAATCATCTGCATGGAAAACAAAATCCAAAATATATATTAAAATGCAATCAAATATAAATTTGGGGGCATAAGTTTGTTTAAAACCTGGGATTTACTCAGAGTTGGACATAAAATTAGCCATAAAATATAAAGGGATAGACATTTTAAAACGGTTTTGTTCTTAGTTGATTATTGTAACTAGAATAAGAAATTTGCATTACAAGAGAAGAATAGCATAGTAACTTGACTGGACAGACAGCTGAATATGAATGATAATCGAAAGGAATAGCATTCCTTTGTTAATTTTTTTGAAATATCTTTGTTAATTTTTTTGAAATATCTTGGTTAGAAAATGTATCATATTACAGGGCTATCCAAAAGCTATGTTTCAGAATTCAGTGCTCTCCTACAAGAAACAGTGGTACTGCAACCCGATTGTGGGTACCGGCACCAAACTTGAGTATGCCTGTCTGATTCAGCAAGCTTAAAAAAACAAGAGTCAAGGATTCGGCCAATATATACTTATTTTAATTCGAATTTTTTTTTCTTGAATATGCAAGAGAGTTGTGTATCATTTCATTAAGAAGAAGAGAAAACAAGGGAATTGGGAGGGGAGCTCCTCCCCTCACCAAGACCCCACAGGCCTAGCTAGGCCTTTACAAACTAAAGAACCTGAAACTGACCTTATCCCGTCAGAGCTATAGCGACCTATCTAAGAACACCTTGAGCTTATTAGTTACCACCATCGACCAAAGGATACACTCATTAACCACTGCTTGAAGAACAGTGGTCACACATGGATTGACACTGTTAAAAACAGTCGTTTCTATGTTTCCAAAACTCCCACACTACTAAAATTATCAGAGAGCTCAGCCCCTTCTTAGTGTCTCTGTCCTTTCCTCTTGTCACCCTTGACCACCATTTCATGAAATTGATGGAAGCTTGTACTGGAACTATACCTCCCAACCCCAGTCTTTGCAAAATTAAGAACCAAATCTGTCAGGAGAAGACACATCCAACCAGTAAGAGATGTCTACTCTGCTTGGTCACAAAGTGGACAAGCTGCAGGGTGTGGCAGTCCTCTCTTTGCCAAGCGGTCCGCTGTCCAACACTGGTTATTGCTCACTAGCCAAAGGAAACATTTGCACTTCAAAGGTGCCCAGTTCTTCCACACTCTTTTAATTCGAAATAAAATATGAACTATTTTATGTTTCTGGATAGGACATGAATGCCGCACTAAAGCATGCCTTAAACCATGTAGTATTAATAAGAATAGAAGATCCCATACACCAATGAACTGTGCAAGTCCTGAAGACAAAAGAAAAATGCACAACACAGTAATACAGAGCAAAAAAGCTGCACAGCAGAGCATCTCACAAGTCATGAAAATTTCAGGATTTATTTCCTGACATAAAGTATGATGTTATCTATCAACTGACAAAGTGAAACAAGACGGATAACTATCACTAGGTTGTACTACTTAGTCTTAATAAATCTGGGAAGTGAGTCGATAAAAGGTTGTCAATGGAGAGCTAAGGGCATGTTTGGGACGGGTCCAACTCCACCTTTCCTGGAGCTGGAGCCTAGCCAAGCAGTTTTAGCTCCACCTAAAATGGGAGTGGAGCTGGCTAGAGCGCTCCCACAAAATGAACTAGAGAGGTGGAGCTGGATTTAGGCTACTCCACAACTCCAATCCAGACCCAACTCCTGGAGTTAAATTTAGAAGTTGGAGCTCTATCAACTGAGCCCTAAGTACCATTTTCCTTTTTAAAAAAATTGTTGCGTGTTGAGAATGCACAGGCTGAAGTGTGCAATAGTAGAAAATTGCTACATTAAACAGTTTAGCACACCTACTTTGTATATTTTATCCCAAAAAGGAACTCATCATCAGTATCTCCAGCAAACAGTAGGTCAAAGTCTGCAGGTTTATTACTTTGAACAGGCTCCTCTACTTCATCATCTGATTCGCCAAACTTCCCTTCGAATTTTGCAATGATATCCTAAAAGAGACGAAACAAAATATTCTTTCAGTATACCACAGAGAACAATTTGCTAAACTAAGTTGTTTAGATGAGATAAATAAAAGATGAGTACTTGTAAAAATGGTTTCATTAGGATTTAGGAAACAGGGCTTTAGTTTGTACTTCTATTGTTTTAGATTTATCAATAACTTTGTTTCGAGGAGAACAACTATAACTAGTCTTCAAAATACCATGTTTAGTTGAGAAACTAAAATTGGTTTTCATCATCTTTACTTTAGTGCTCTCCACCACTCTACTGCTTCCACTGCTCAAGTAATTAATCAGTCCAAAACCACTGGTGCACTCAGAACCAACATTTCAAATGCCATTTCTGAGAAAAAAGAAGACCACCCCCTCTAGAAAAAGTTCCTTCTGTATTTTGAAGTAAAGAACTCAATGTTTACTTATAACAGCTAAAAAAGAATATATAAGTGTACCTTTTGTGACAGTGGGGACAGTTGGATCAACCTCTTCACAACACGCCTCGCAATGCTTTTTAGAGGTAACAGGAAAAGAACCTAAGGACATTTACAAAGAAAAAAGAGTATTAAGTTTCAGTGTTCAAAAGATAATACACAGCAGAACGGCATATAAGTATAACATCAAGAAAGCAGTATGGCAGGAAATCTTAATTAATAAAATACATGGAACAATTAGAAGTCAAGTGATAACCTATAAAAAAGCACACGCATCCATTTAACGTATAATGTCATTTTGGTACTGTTTGCATATATGCGTTTTAACTCCGTCAGAAGATTTTCCGGACTGTAATAAAGGTATATACAAATGCTGCAATGAAGGTAAATAAATGGAAATACAACCCAAAATACAGTTTTTTTGTGCCAGTTATATTTACCTTTGGACGTGTAAAGCCCTGATCGAGGAATGAGTTATCATCCAAAATATCTTTGCTAGGGTCACTCCTAAGCTTCGCATCATTTTTTACAACAATCTCTCTCGTTCTGTTAATATGATTCAACTGCAAATATCATGTCATTGCAAATCACTCTCTTTGATTCCAGATATAAGCCCTTTAGACAAAAACACAGCGATTACAGAACAGATAAAATGTCCTTCATGTATAGCACATTGGAAAAGATGTAGACAGGCACTCTTATTTTATTCAAGGGAATATTTTTGTTCAATGAAAGCGAACTAGCAGGCAGAATTCCTAGCCATTGATTCATAAGAGTAATAGCAATTACTTAACAAGGGCAAGGATAGAAGAAAAGATTGAGAAATGCCTTGAGGTTATAAAGCAATATTTGGACCAGCAGAATGCTAAATGAAGCAATATTTGGAAGCAAAGGAAGTAATCAGCGTCATAATAGATTTTGTTGCAATATGATGCCCAAATAACTACCCTGAGACTTACAGCATGCATAAGATAGGAGTCCATTGTACTGGAATCCACAGTGCTACCTCCTTTTAGATAAAATGGCTTCTTATTACAATGCATTATGTCACGATAGCTACTACCTGTAATAAAAAAAATTAGGACTGTAAATACACTTAGAGAGAGTAACATATCACTTTACTGAGAAAAAAGGGGCAATTGTGTTCTTGTCCTTACTTTCTAATTCAATTGTGATTTTACCCCTGTTTTTTAGGGTTTGTGTTTTTACCCTTGCTTTTTCAAAATGAAGTAGCTGTTTGCCCTCGATTTTGACGGCTGTTAGTGGGGCTAGAATTTCCGAGTTAAACAAAGGGGGAAGAAAATAAAAAAATAATTTCGTAATTTGTCAATGACTGTTATACCCCTGGTGAGTAAATAAATCACTCAAGTAGCTGTGCGAATTGGGTTGGAAAGCTACGGATTCCCCTCCCCCATCCCAAAACCTAGGGCTAGAGGATTTGGCCGTGCCGGTGGCACGAGCAAGCGGCGGCGACACGAACAGGCGACGGGGAGGCACGGCGACGCGACGCAGGGGAGTAGCAGGCGGCGGCGCGAAGGGGAGGTGCGTGCGCCGCGGAATGTCGCCGGGACTACGGGTCGACATGAAGGGGAGGCGCGGCGGGGATAACAGGCCAACGCAGGGGAGGCGCACGCGCGGCCGACCGTCGTCGGGACTGCGGACCGGAGCCTGCTGGAGGCAAGCAGGCGCAAAGGCGGCAGGCTTCTGATTTCCCGCGCGGTATCGACACTTCGACAGCGACTGCGTCAGCCATGACATTTTGCCGCTGGGTGCATCGTCTCATGTGAATCCTGCGCCTCCTCCTTGTTGGATCCCAGCTTTGCTCAAAGTTACCGTTGCCACCGAGGAACTGGGAGGGTTTAATGGTTTGCTTTGTTGATTGAATCAACCGGCAAGCAACTGCGATGAATCATTGAGGCTCTGTTAGATGGATCTGGGGATTATTTTTTGCTTGGGCTCTCTGTTCTTTCTCCTTTTTGATGTGTGCAATCTCTTTGTTCATGAAAAAGCTAGGTAATAGATTTGTTTGGACAATTGGTTGCGTTCTCCTTTCTTTTTCCCTTCGTGATGATGAATATATGCAACTGACATGTTCCTGAAAATAACTGGCAATAAATTGATTTGTGTGGAGCTGCCATACAATCTCAAAGTTAATGTCCACATCATATATCGGGGCAAAAACAGTACATCCACACAAAGAAATGCAAAGGGCACACCAGTCTTTCTGCTACTAAATTAACACCGTTAATTCATCCTAACAGAGTAAGGGCAAACAGAAGCTTCAATTTGAAAAAACAAGGGCAAAATCACAAACCCTAAAAAGAAGAGGTAAAATCACAATTGAATCAGAAAGCAAGGGCAGGAACACAATTGCCCCGAGAAAAAATGAAAGAAGTTCAAATTTGGCTTAGTTTACTTAGGCAGGGATGTTGATTGTGCTAAAACCATATTTGTAGCCATAAACAACAATAATAAATGTACTTTGATACTTAGAATTTCTACATATGCCAAGATTAGTCAACTTCCCCACTTTTCATCCACATTTTCTAATATTACATATTACAACAAAAAAAATATAACCCACACCAGAAGAAAAAAACATTTAAACTTTTTCTAACAAAAGATTCCTCTAGTTGGTTTCCATTAGACAGAAATAGGTTCGGAGCATTGTATGAAGCACAAACCATTTAAAAGATCACAATTCACAATGTATTTATTATTTTGGTGAAGGTAAGTGCCACTTTGATGGAAAATAATACTGATGCCAGACTTGCCAGCCTTATGTCATACTTGGTGATTGTATAATGGCCTTAACAGCTATGATAAAAACAGAGTTATGGTGGGTATGAGGTTATCACAATCAAGAGAACTTACAAAGTGAGAAGAAATTCAATCTAGAATTCAACTGATCAGAGAGGGTATTCTGCCAATGATCCCTCAACTTTCCTTTGACACCACCAATAAGATCAACATAAGCTCCCTAAAAAGAACAAAGTAGGACATTAATTACATAGAAAGTACCTAGGTTGTCACAACTCACAATAAAGAGACATGGTCAACTTGTACAGTAAACATTGTTAAAATTGAATGGTCCAACAGTTTCCATGTCATCCTTTTCCATGATACCGGTATCAACAATTAACTTGAGTGGCATGCATTCTAATAAAAAACAAGATTAACTTAGCCATCCAGTTTATATGATAAACATGGTTTGGCTCAGCCTCTAAACATGGAAACCCACAACCATAGTCTCCAGAAACCAACCACGTAGGAACGAGTTGAGGGGCAAAGGTGGCAGGTGGCTAAAAACATGGGTCGAAGGGGGAGTATGACTCATCAGCAGGATGTGGGACATGAAGCCAGATAACTAGGTGATTACCCCAGGTTCAATGATCCAGCAACAGCTATGTACACAGGTATTTATACATAAAAGAAAAGGACATGCAAATGAAATGGTATAGGATAAAAGGTAGAGAAATTAGCAGGCTACAGCTAGGCCCACTGTCCACGTTTTGTGCTTCGCTTGCTTGGCCAAACCACATTACATGCTAAGGGTGGATAATCATCCACAATCCCATTGTCCACGTACCCACAGGCCACAACCATACAGGCATACACCATAGCAAATAGAGACAGGAATGGGCAGGATAATAACAAGAGGAGAAATGAACGGAAGAGTGTCGACAGCTAGCAAATATCCTTGGTCAGATATCTCTTCTGCCACAGCAACAAATCGAGAATGAGGGTCAAGGTTGCTCTAGCTTTGCTTATAAGTTATAAGCCACTGTGGCGCAGCTGGATGCCAAAAACATTGAATTCACCCAGTTAGCTTGCTTCTCTCTTGTCCTACTGAACCACCCTTTCTCCCCCTCTCTTCTTACATTACAGTGTGGGGATGCAGTACCCTCTTCTCCCCCTCTCCTCTTCTTACAGTGTGGTGACCCAGCTGCATCCCAGCAGTGGCAAAAATCCAGGATGTTCGAATCCAGATTGTGGATCACAGCTGGTGGCTTTGCGGCTATGCCCATCATCACATATTACCTCAAATAAAATTTTCATTTTTGAAGTATATCAAAGTAATATTCTATGTGCAGCTGACTCAAGGCATATAACATTCAAAATTCAAAAATGCGCATTTTTGATCTTATTAATAACTTATCAGGGTTGACGTCCCAAAGTACCTCCATTTTTTCACCTGTTCCAACCCATTTGGATTTTGGAATGTCCTCTGCAGGCACCTCCCATTTAAATTTACACTTCTGCTTTAGTAATGCATTGACTTCTTCATTCGTTATGATGCGACTAACATGGCGATGAAATGAACTGGGACATACAAAAGGGAGGGATGTGTTATAAGGAGTTACAAGAAAAATAATGGGCAATGCAAGAGAAAAAAATGTCCAGTATATACATTTTATTAACTTTCACTAATTGATAAGGATATGTAGAGTTTCTCAAGAAACCGTGCATGAACAGTTTAGAGTGTGAATCTCCTCAGATAATATGGCAATAAATATATGCAAACATCTTTAGATTGAGAAAGACAACATAAAATTACTCTGCAAAGAAAAGGTAGAAACAGATTATATGTACCAGATTATATATAGGGCATAGAGGAGCCATGATGCACCATTGCAGTCATTAACCCTCATAGTCAATCAATCGAAGTAAAAACTGAAGAGTGTCATAACAAAAGCACCAACCATGAAGCCTCCATTTCATCAAAAGCATCATCTTTATTGTTTATCATATCATTTGTCTCATCGTCACCAGGAACAGTGTGTTCATCTTCCATGTCATCTTCATCACTCTGCTCTAGGCCTATTGCTCCAGATTCGGTACTTAAGATTTTGCCTGCATGCAGCAGACAGATGCAGTGAAAAAGGGAAAAGGGCCTGATAGTGTGGTTGCACAAGGATATTTTGACCCAGTAAATGATGTATTCCAAAACAACACAGATGTAGCATTGTAGGGGAAACACTTGGCAATCAAAACAGATGCTAGCAAAATTTGCTACTTCGTGTCACTAGAATGGCGTCGTCGCACCATCATTACCACAAATATTCTACTACCAATATAATCCAATGGTGAAACATTGCTACAGTGTCGCACCACCATTACCACAAATATTCTACTACCAATATAATCCAATATTACCACAAATATTCTACTACCAATATAATCCAATGGTGAAACATTGCTACAGTCTACTGGAGATAGAGCATCAAGAAGCAAACCTAGGCTGGAACCCGGCGGCGGCGACTCCTCCGCCAGGCCGACACCATCGAGCTCTCGCCTCTTGCGCTTCTCCTCGCGCGGCTCGGGTCCTCCTCCCTTCCCCGAGGGCCTTGTCCTCTTCGGGCGCCTCTTGTGCCCTGCAGCCACAGCACCAACATGAGGAGGGGAGGGGAGAGAGCCAATCAGAGGCTGTGAGCGAAGAAACTACAGGCGAAGAGGCGGAGGCGGAGGCGGGGGGGTTCGCACCTCGAGGAGCGGCTGTGGCGGAGGCGGGCTTGGGCTTCCCCATCGGGCGGTGGTGCTGCGCCCCTTCCTCAGAGTCAGAGGCGGTATAGCTGGGGAACAACCGCGGACGCGGAGGACGCAGGGCTTAACTGGGTTTTAGGGCAGAGGCGGTGGCTGCGTGGTTTTGAGAGAGACGGGGGGTGGAGAGGAGGCGGCGGGCGGCGATTTTTCCACTTCCAGTTCCAGGGCGCGGGCCGCCTAGTGAAGGCGTGAATCGTGAACGGGCAACTAGACGGGTCGTGTTCCCCCCCTGGCCCGACCCCAAGCCCGTCTCGGGCCCCCACGGGTTACACGATTACGGCTCATTTGAAACTCACGTCTAAGATTTTGGTGGCAATTATCCCCGTGGGGCTGGTGGCCCGTCGGCGTCGGGTACCCGCCCCTATGGGGCCAGGGACGGGAGAGATTTCTCACCCACGGTTAAGTAGGGATGGAGCCTCGCAAATTTTTGGGGCCAAGGGCAGGGCGGCTTCTTCACCCACAGGTCACCCGTAGGGCCCCGAAGTTTGGAGCAAGAGATAGCCCACTAGCAAAGAAAAGCCCACCAAACTATAAAAGCAGCCCACGTACTACCATCACAAGCCCGGATGGCACATTAAGAAAGAACCTTATATAGCCCACTTTGAAGGAGGTATAAATTGAACATCGAAACCTAATCCATCCCAACTCCCAAGTCCCAGCAACACGCATGACCAGTTCCTGGCGGCGGCAATCGAGCAAGGCGAGCCTAGGACGCGGCACGCATGCGCATCGGTCCCGCGCCGTGCTTCCGCTTCCGCCCACCCGCCGCTATCGCCAAGCTACCAACTGCCCATCCCTTCATCTTGATGAAGCACCACTTTAGCCACGAGCACTCTGCACGTCTACAATGTTTTGCTGGCCATCGGCTCCTCGCATCGTTCCCCAACATATCTGGGCACCTCCTTACTCCGTCTCTTCTTTGAGTTGTTTCCTTTTGACTTCAAGTCCCTCACGCCATTCTGTTCTTCCTCTAGCTAGGTGGTGGCAGTTGCCACTTGCACCGAGGCTGCGGGGACCCGGCTGGAATGCGAGGCCCCGGAGGGGCCGGAGCGGGGATCGATTTCGCCCCGATCTACACTCCGAGGTCGGGGCCAGGTGAACCCACAAGTGAGCGGGGACGGTGTTGTTCCTGTCCAACCCTTCCCCGTCCCGCCTCATTGCCACCCTATTGAAAATGTCAGGTATAAATGGTGTTGTTTAGACGTCCCAAAAAAATTATCACAAGAATTTTATAGCTTCATAGATGATGAAAGAAGATGCATTGGAATTCTCAAATGAAAAATAAAATGAGGTGTGAGCTCATGTGAAAAAAATCTATGAAATTCAACTATGGGAAAACAATCCAAATAAAATTATCAACTTCCAATCCTATGTTCCAAATTGAAAGAGCATCTATGTTCCTAGTGGGTTTTGGTTAATTAAAGACAAACGATTAAGAGACTAATACACTTATTGAGTGTATAAGCAAAGGACTAGTCCAATAAAGAGCCGATGAAGATAATGATGAAGAAGAAAATGCAATAAAACAAGGTTTCATTGTGATCCAAGGCTACAATTGACGGAAGATGGCAAGATATAGTGAAGGGATCCAAGGCTACAATTGACGGAAGATGACAAGAGACGGTGAAAGGGTTGGTAAGACTTAGTACACGATGGACCATTGTCACAGCCCTTCTTCCAGAACCGCGTAGCCAGCCCGAAATTAGTTTTCAGAATTTCCGAAAGTGTCTGCGCGTTGAGAAATGGTACTGGTCATTTTCGAAATTGTCCAAAAAGTACTTTTGAAATTTCCCGAAATGACTGTGTGGCCAAAATCGGTTTCGGACATTTTCAGACTTGTCCTAAAGTGATTTTTGGAGTTTCCAAAAATGATCTTACTCGAAGTTTTGGTTTTGATCATTTTCGGACTTGTCCTAAAGTGATTTTCGGAATTTCCAAAAATGACTGTGCATCGAAGTTTTGCATCTGGTCATTTTCGGACATGTCCAGAAATGACTGTGTGGCCAAAATCGGTTCCGGACATTTTCAGACTTGTCCTAAAGTGATTTTTGTAATTTCCAAAAATGATCGCACTCGAAGTTTCGGTTCTGAAAATTTTCGGACTTGTCCTAAAGTGATTTTCGGAATTTCCAAAAGTGGCCGTGCATCAAAGTTTTGGATCTGGTCATTTTCGGACATGTCCTAAAGTGATTTTTGGACTTATCCTAAATTATTTTTTAGACTTGTCCGAAAATTGTTTTTGGAATTTCCGAAAAAAGGAATCTTCACCTCGAACGAGTAGATCTGAGACTGTGTCTATAAATAACCCCCTCCACCCCGAAATCAAGGTTATTGACTCTGTTGCTTATCTTTTGCCCTTGGCTTGTGTTGGTTTGAGATCACTCTGAGCTTGCCTTTTCACTTCTTCCTCTCATATGATCTTCAATCTCGGATCTGAGTGTGTGTGTGAGAGAGTAGTTGATTTGAGTTTGTTGAGTGCTTGGTGTTGACTTCGTGAAGATTTGTTGAGAACTCGATTCATCCCCAAGAAATATTTGTTGCATTTGTTATTCTTGGTGGTTGAGGACACCTAGACAGCTAGGAGTCAACCTCGAGACACCGATTTGTTTATGGTATGTCGAGGGAGTTTGTGAAGGTCGGATCTCAACTTTGAAAGGGAGATACCCTTAATGGAAGGAGGAGTTTATTTGTGCAACCTCACGAGGACAGTTGGAAAAAATCTGGCTCATTGTAAGCTTCTCAACGAATAGTAGAATCCTCTCAAGGATTTGAACTTCGGTAACACATTGACTGGCAAGAATCCCAATGATATCTCTCTCACTCCTCTAGCTTTGTTATTTGGTTCCACTAATAGTTTAGCCATTATTTGTGCAAATCCATCTCTTACTTGTGTTGCTATCCTCTTTTGCTTGCCTTGCTAGCTTGCTTGTAAATCTAAGATTTTCGGGATATCCGAATATATTTCGGAATATCCGAAAAGTTTGGCTTATGCATTTTTCTTAAATGTTTTAAATATTTATTCACCACCCCTCTAGGTGACATCAAGGTCCTTTCACAAATAACCAAGTTAGAAATGAGCCCTACAAGAATTGGTGAACCTAGGGTTAGGGAGGGACGGAGGGTAGCCACCAAGATGTCAAGAGGAAGGGGAGTCGAGGCAGTGGTGCCTAGCAGACATGATCACACGAAGCGTGGTTGAGCGAGCAAGTAGCCAACAAGTGGCAGCAACAAAATATATAAGGGTTTGTTTGGCTTTGAGATGAGGTAAGATGGGCTAGCCTTTTATTTTATTTTGGATGTGATTTTCCCATGTATATGTTGGACATGAGGAATGGAATGGTCATTATTTTAGGAATGAGAGGGTGTGGCTCATATGTTAATGAGAGATAGGAAGTGTGTTGGATTGGTCCTTCAGTTTTCGAGGCATGGAGTTGACCCGAATCAGAGAGAATATTCCTTTTGAGATCATCATATCCTATTTGTCCCTAAACAAAACACCCTGAAAACTGAAAAATGAGCTCGCTCCAATCTAACCCATCATGTCCCTCCTACCAAACACATGCTAAATGGTCACATAGGGATTAGGTTTGGAGTGGACTGTAGGATCGAGATGTCGACTAGAGGGAGGGGGTGAATAGGCGATTTAAAATTAAATGACACCTAATCAAAACTAACCTAAGTTGCTAGGCTCGGTGAGGGACAAGTCTAACTAAGCAACTAAGTTATGTTTTGCAATCCTAGGGTGAAAGTGGCTCAAGTATATCACTAGGAAAGTAAATCACACACGTAAATTAAGTTTTGCAATCCTAGGGTGAAAGTGGCTCAAGTATGTCTCTATGAAATGTAAATTGCACAAATGTAAATGCACAAAGTAAATGAGACAAGAGACAATGAATTTTTCACCGAGGTTCAGAAACTCGCCGATTTCCTAATCCCCATTGAGGAGAGCCCAACTCCATCGCTCAACCACGAAGCCACCGCACGCCCCCTTCGTCAAGGGGTTGGCAACGCGGAAGCCGGCCAAGGAGAGGACTACCCAAGCCTCGATCACTAAGGGTAGTTCTTCCTTCACGCCGAAGGTGGTGAACTCCAAACCACTCACAACCAGCACCGGGCCTCCTCCACAATCTTCTCGGAGAGGTCACCGGGCAACTCCTCCACAAGCCGTCCAGGAGGCAACAACCTCCAAGAGTAACAAGCGATGACCCGGCTTGGAGATGATCAAGTGCCACACTAGCTCAACAAATGGAAGCAAATGCACTTGACTCTTGGCTAGACAATCCTCAAACACACTAAGTGGATGAACACTAAGCTCAAATGAGTATGGGAGAGGTGCAAGGGGTGTATGCAATTGAAGTGGGTGCCAAGAGAGTCCCCTTGTTGCTGGTGGGGGAGTATTTATACTCCCACTCACCAAAACTAGCCATTGGGGGCGAAATCCCCCAACTTTGTGTACTGCCGGTCTGACCGGAGGTGTGTGGCCGGTTAGACCGTGCTACTCTAAAACTAGCCGTTGTAGGCATGTTATTGGGCCCCAAGGGCCTGGCCGATCAGACTGCAGTTGGGTGGCGTCAAACCATGGCCGATCAGACCGCAGTTGGGTGGCGTCAAACCATCCTCGGCTCGGTCAGACCACCCCCAACTCGGTCTGTCCGAATATGGCTCTGGCGGCTCTGGATCGCCACCCCGAGGGCACACAGTTGCCGGCTACCAGGGGGCAGTCAGACCAGCCTATACCCACCGGTCAGACCGACCGGGACACACCGGTCAGACCAGCATGAGGCACTCGATCAGACCGGCCCTAGACAGTGAACAAAGACAAGTGGGAAAAAGTGAATGCAAGCAAGTCTAAAGAACAATGACCTAATGTGGCAATTGAAATCATCTCTTTGCTAGGTCATTACCCCTTGATAGTACGGCGAAGCTAAAAATAAACTAGCAAATTTGATCGCCCAAACTCCTCGATCAATTCTAAAAAGAAAACACTAGTTTACCTTCTCTTCCTTTTGCTTTGTACCGTTAATTTTAACCTGTCGATAATCATCCATGCGCAAATATGATGTGAACCTAACTCAAAACATATAACTCGATAGGACGGTTAGTCCACAATTAACGCTTGTTATTAATTACCAA